TTTATATTACATTATATAGTAGACACAAGTCTTTTTCTTCAAGTAAAATACTATAATAAAGTATTTACTCTTAATATATTTTTGTTAAAATATATTTACTCAATATTTAAAGCTATTATAATACATATACTGTATTATATTCATTAATAATACTTTTAGAACCTTTATAAGATGTATAAGAATTATCTTTACTTTATAACCTTATTAAAATTCTTACAGTTACTATATAATTTATAAATAATGTGTATTCTACTATATAAGAACTATAAAGCTATATAAGAAAATGGACTTTTCCCTGACAAAGGTAACTATACCAATGAACAACTGACAGAGGAGCATCAGATTGAGCAATAATTAAAGCTATAGTATTTCCTATTCATACAGTAGATTAATCCTTTTTGTACAATGCTAGATGGACTGTCCTCTTCTGAGCATCAAGAATGAATTTGATGACATTATTGGAAGGCTAGGGGAAGTCCTAGTGCTACAGATCCTGAGCAGAAGTCAATTGTAAAGGATACTGTGCAAGATACCCTGTGGACTTTTCAGATGCCAATTAGACCTATAATTTCTATATGACAATCTGTTTCTAGCCTCATATGAGTAGTATAGTATTAAGAGTAGTCTTACAGAAGGGTGGATATTAGAATTGTATTAAGAATACTGTACAGTATAGTACCTAGCTGTATCACCAAATCAAACATGAAAATGTATTAGAATTTACTACTAAGACATATATTTTTTACATATTGTGGATCCTTATATTTGCTTATAAAGTTTACATGTAAATATATTGCCTTGTCAGACTCTGCACATTTTGGTGATGTGTATTACTACAACTGTATGTGAGGGATTACCATATATAGTGGACCATACATAGAACCTCTTCACCAAAAGGGTGTAATGTTAAGCTTGGCTTGACACCTGGTCCACACTATATATACTGATAAATGTTTGTGTCCTAACATTACTCTCCTCTCTAGAGTCATGTGTCCTCACATGACTAGTATATAGAGTTTGACCCTAAGGGTTACTATTTCTAGCTTAATCTTGACAGTCTTTAGAGGTAGGGAGAGATATCCTAATATAGAGTCCTGGCCCTAGTATTCCAAGCAACTGTGAAATTCACTCCCCCCCTTTTAGGAAGCTTATTCTCAGCCTAATACTTTTGCTCACAGACAACCCTACATCAGGATCAAACCCCTGACTGCTCTAAGCTTGACATTATGTGAGGGATTACTATATATAGTAGACTATACATAGAACCTCTTTACCAAAAGGGTACAATGTCAAGCTTGGCTTGACACCTGGTCCATACTATATATACTGATAAATGTTTGTGTTCTAACACTGTAACAGTAACACAGTACTGGTTGGGTTGCTACAGGTAATGTGAAATTTAGATGAGTTGTACTTGTAGTAGTGTTACAAGAATAAAAAAGTAGTATTGAAAATACTTATGTAGTGACTGTTTAGATGGACTGGTTACTTAATTTTTTTGTAGTAACACTATTTTCAGGGCTAGTTGCTCAAATTTGGCTGTAATATACTACTCTTGGTTGTAGTCATACAGCTGGGTACAGTATAAACCTATTAGACATACATTCTCAAGATGTTACACAAGTATGTTTGTAATTGTTATAACTAGAATCACTCAAATCATTGTATCAGCAGGTGTAATATACATGATAAACTTACCAAAAATGTACACATAATACATTGTTCCTAAGCAAACAATATATATGAGAATACACTCTTATAGTTAAACTGAGACCAACCATTAGTCAACATTGTTTTTAGTAAAGTACTAGTATTGACTGATCCTTGATTACAATCTATAGAATATAATCAGCCAATTTTCAACAGAAGGATATTAGGACAAGTCTACTATAAAGGAAGGCTCTTGCTAGAAGAAGGCTTAAGGAAACTAGATTTGAGGACAACAAATGAAATTTACAGTTCTACAGTCAGTTGCTACAACTATTTAATTACAATTAAAGACTGACTTGTTTCACAGCAGACAAGAATAACAAGTAATATAGCTTCTATGTAGCTTGATGTCACCTGAAGACATCCAGAGTGAAATACTTGTAGAGAAGCTATTGAATTTATCAGAGTAAATAGTACTACTATTAAGATAGTATGCTTACAATCTATAGATATAATAAACTGGGCAATTACATAATATGCTCTGGAAGTACTGGCCTAAATGATAGTAAGTTAGTATAGTTGACAGACACACAGGTACAGTGAAGCTAAAATTTAAAAGCTTACTATAAAGATAATTGACACAAAAACCAGTAATAACAGCTTACATTCCTATATTGTATAAACTTGAACAAAGAGAGTTGCTAACAACATAAATTTGACTATCTGGAGTGTAAATTTATTT